TAACAGGAGACATTCTTTCTAAACCTGCAGGGAGGGAAACTGATGTTTGTCAGAGTTTTTGGTTTGGTAAATAATTTAAATGCATAAACATGAGAACAATCAAACTGATACTTCTTGACCTGGGGTCGCCCATGTCAGGTACATTGTACAACAGCTAGTGTTGCTTCAGCATTGCTGTGTTGTTTCAGCCTGGAGCATCCACCCTGAAGGCCTGACATAAAAGTTCAGAGCAGATGGTAAGTAATTATAAAATGTGTGATAACATCAGTGTGTATAATTGGTGCACTGGGAAGTGGAAATGACTCTGTGGTCCTTGAATGGAAGAGTGAACAAATGTGTTGATGTATTTATTGGTGTAAAAAAAGATTGAATCTTTGAGTTAAACGTTTGGTGACAAAGGAGAGATTAAAGAAATTGAGAGAAATCAAGCCTTACAATTGTTTGTCACCATCTAAACCCATTCCGTCGCCTACTTTTCATTTTGTTGTTCTGTTCCTTCCTAACAAGGATTTCTCATCTCCAACACATCTCATTTTATACAGAATACTTCTGCTAGAGACTTAAACGTCGATGATATAAATCATATGACGTCAACCTTAAAATAAATCTATCAGCAGCATGCGCTGCAAAAACAATCTAGAAATAAGTAAATATTTCTTAAATTAAGTGTATTTACCTTTATTTGAGATAATTGGATATTATGCACTTGAAATAATGCAGTATTTTTTTTCTTATTTTAAATGCAAATTGTGTAATTCCATTGGTAAATGTTTCACCTCCCTCCTCAATTCAAGGAAAAAAATGCTTATTTTAGGGAAAATTGACTTAGATTTTTTGCAGTGTCAGATTATGTTGGATTGCTGACCAGGGGCGGATTTAGGAAATTTGGGGCCCTAGGTAAAGACAGGTAGGGGTCCTCTGAATTGAGAACACATAAAACAGATGCATTCTACAGATAGAGAAATGTTAATAGAATAGACATCCATTATCTGTTCTAGGTTGTGTCCCTCTCTTCTTGTCCCTTTTCTTCTTGTTTTCCTCTCTATGTTTTGTACTCAGCTGACTTTTCATGCTGTCTCTAAAGGAATGAAAGATTTTTTCCAAGCACTAAGCTCACTTAGCTGATTGCTCCTTCCTGTGTTTCCAAAAAGGCCAAAGTAAATAACCCAGTCCTTCTTTTCACTGTAGACAAGCCATGATCTGCTTATCTGTTCTCCATTTTTCATTTGGATGAAATAATAGCTGCATGAATCATGACAGCAGACAAGATAGAGGAGAGCAGGAGGCGGGGTTACCAATCTACTTGCTCTGGAGAGCAGAGTTCGCTGCTTTTAGATGTTGTCTCCAAAGTCTCCAGTAGCAGAAAAAAGTCGCTAGATTTGGCGCTAGGAGCTTTTTAGAAATCAAAGTTCTAGAGGGGTCTGAAAAGTGGCTAAATATAGCGACTAAAGCGCTAAGTTGGCAACACTGCTCTTTGCATGGTTTGTTTTCAAATGGTTTGCTGCTGTCTGTTTGGACCTTTCTGAACATGTGCAGCAAATGGACTGATCCAATATGGTGGACACTGAAGGGGGGGGGCTGAGACACACTGAATATTATCAGCGTTCTGATGGCATTTTAGCGAAAAGATTTTTATCAAAACATAATTAATGTACACAAATAAGGAATAGTTGTATTAACCATATATGTTCTATGGGGCCCCCAGCAATTTGGGGCCCTAGGCAACTGCCTAGTATTGCCTAATGGTAAATCCCCCCCCCCCCGGTGCCAACAGGTACACCTGTAATGCTGTAAAGGTCGTCTAACTTTGATCAGTCGATTTATTTATTTAACGGTTTGTTGTTTTCTTGCCTCTATGTTACCATTTCTAAACTATTAAGCTTCTGTCAGAAATGTATCGAATATCGAATGTAAGTGATCGAAAGGAAATGTTTGGAGTTTAGTGATTGCTGATGTTTGCAGTGTTTTGTAAGCATATTTGAAATGATTTTACTATAAAGTTCGTTCTCAACACTGTGCCTGCATAAAAGGTCTTGGCTGGTACTTCATTGTCACAAGACTTGGGAATTTACAAACTCCCGTAAATACATCTTGAAATTTTTAGGACCAGTGAAAAGCAGTGACGTAGACGCCAGAGCGTCAACCAGAGGTGGAAGGTGGAAGCAAAATGAAGATGACTGCTCTGGATTGCCCTCTATTTCTTTTTAAAAAACAAAGACGTTTCGCTTCCCATCCAGGAAGCTTTTTCAATTGACTCACCAACCTTTCAGACACTTAAGGGCAGATTAGACTTTTGCAACCGCACACATAAAATGTCGGTCGGTCCTGGTCGCAAACCAGTTTTTCTGGTATGCTTCTGCACCGTCGTTTTGGAATTTCTAGGGACGCACAGCAGTTTCCCGCCAAAGCGCAAGGGGGAGCCTATTCGAGAACTCGCGAGAACTTCGGCAGACTTTGGCATCTTTCTATAATTTCTCTGAGGCATCGTACAAGTGGTTGTACTTCCGAACCTCCACGGTTAACCTTTCGTCGTAGTTGTCCATTGTAGTTGTTCCTTGGTTTTTAAAAATCCAGAAAGACGACCACACAGACAGCCGGAAAGGCATACCAAGGACCAATCACAGCTGCTTTTTGTCTGCGCGGTTAGCGAACATCCGACGCGTAGTCAGGATTTTTTGAGGTGCGTGATGATGGTTGACAGATTTGACGGTGGCTATGCGTCAGAAGCATAAATTGGCGGGTAGAAGGGTATGCGATATTGAAGTGTAACAAAACAAGCCAAAAAACCTCCATTCCAAAGGGTTGGACCCATTCGTCTGTTCCCCTTTCCATGTTTTCAAAACAAAAACAAGGCTTTGTTGGGCTTCTGTATACAGGGTTCATACGGGTGCTGGAAATCCTTGAAAATGCTTGAATTTTGACGTTGTGTTTTCAAGGTTTTAAAAGTGCTTATATTTTGGATGAAATGCTTGAAAATGCTTGAAATTGTAACTATTTCTTTCGCAACAAATACCTATCTAACTGAATCGTATGGAGCCCCTCTGATGACATGGTCAAAAAAAATTTTTAATTGTGGCCACAAAGTAGTATTTCGTGCGCACTTTTGTGGCGACGCAATAAGTTTATCGTGCACACGAAATACTACTTTGCGGCCACGCAATAAGTGTAACGTGCGCACAAAATACTTAATAATAATATCAATAAATCCGGCCCTGTTTTCAGGCTTATGTTAACTGTAATGACTTATCTTGGACAGGCTGCTATGTAAACAGGCCTTTAGTCCTTCGTTTAGCTATGCTGCGGTTGTTTACACTACGCCTTTTCCACCTAAAATGGCGTCTTAGCAACAAATGTCTTGTGACTGGCGGAGACCGACTGGGTAAGCAAATCGAGCGTGCCTTAGACCTTAGAGAAGGCGCGCTCGATTTGCTTACCAGGTTGTCCAGGAATGATATTAATATTATTAGTGAGTATTTCGTGCGCACATTATACTTATCGCGCATTAAAATTTTTTTTTGACCATGTCATCAGAGGGGCTCCGTAGAATCGTGTGTTTATTAAATGGAGAAATAAAATGTTGGAGAGCCCGAAAATGAAACCTGCTCTCTTATGTGTGACTGTGATCTGCCAGTCTGTTTCCACGTGTGACTCCGCCCCCATGAAACCACTACTGCACCATGCCGGGAGGTTGTCGTTTCAATGAACGTTGGCTGGAAGATGAAAAATACAAATTATGGATTAAACGGGGACAAACCCCACGAGTTGCCTCTTGTAAAGTCTGCAAAAAAGATGTGCAGCTTTTCACAATGGGCGAGTCTGCGCTGTCGAGTCACATGAAGGGTAAGTCATAGACTTTTTAAGTAAGCCAACTGAAGTAGCCTAGAACACGTTAACGTTAGCGCCTATTTGTTTACGCTATTAACTGCTAGCTAGGAATTCACAGGCTAAGTTACTGAGTGACTGAGAGTACGGTGTGATAATGTAATGTTAGTATTGCAATGTTTCCCGCAGCCTCGCCAAACTCACGCTACCGCCTCGCCAACGTTCCCAAAAAAACAAAAAGAAAAAAAACCAAAGTTTTAATTCATTGACAGGCCCAGACCTTAAAACAGCATTGATAACTCTACGGCTGATAATACTGAATTGCGACACCCTCTGGTTGGTTATATTACTACGCCATGGCAGAGGAGTAATGCCCCCCACACCCCGGCGGTCATCCGCGCAAAACTGGTTCCGGCCGACAACTGGTGGTGGTGTAAGGTGCTGGAAAAAGTTTTGAAATGGATCTTGAAAGTGCTTGAAAAGTGCTTGATTTTGACTTTGGAAAAGGTGTACGAACCCTGTGTATAAAACCTCAAACTCAACACTATTCCTCAGATTCTGATTTGAAAAATCTTCCTGGAAGTGAAACTTTTTCAAACCTGTTTTTAATCTGTTTGGATTCACATGAAAAAAGCAACATAAGATAAAACCCCCCCAAAAAGTAGATTGCAGGGGCAGCCAGCTGACCGCACTTATTCATTCCAACGTGTGCATATGTGGCAGGGCTGTGGACGTTCCCTCCCACTGACAGATGGATGAGGTTAATATCATAATTAAGCACCTCAGCTGACAGTTCCTGTTTACCACTCGGTTGCTAGGCAGTGACATCAGCTGATCCCTCCCTCCTTCCTCTCTAATCCCTTCCCTCTCCCTCACACACATGCTCGGCAGTCTCTCTCAGCTCCGTCTCTCTCAGATAGGCGGCGCAGACGTGGGCAGAGTGTGGGGGTATAGGAAAAGCAGAGAGCAGGAGGGTAGATAGTAGTATGTGAGAGGCTGGCAGACAGCATGGTCTGGGTCTGAGGACAGACTCTGGGAGACGCAGCTGCATCACCCTCAGGAACTCCATGTAGACCAGCATCACCTGCACCTGCCCACCCAGAAGAACAGCCACCTTCTTTAGAAAAGCAGGTGGAGGACAGAGCATTCCGGGCAGCTCACTCTACATCCTTTTAGTTTCTTTATTTTCTTTGTTTTGGGAGTAAGCTCCGGGCTGGACCGCATGCATGACACAACGCAAAGGCGAGAAACCCACCATCAGCATCCAAGAACACATGGCCATTGACGTGTGCCCTGGTCCCATCCAGCCTATCAAGCAGATCTCTGACTACTTCCCCCGTTACCCGCGGGGCCTCCCCCCTGCTGCGCCCCAGCAAGCGGGCAACGTCGGGCCCCTGCGCCCTGCCCTCTCCACCTCTACGGCTGCCGCCTCCTCGACCACCGCCACCGCTGAAAGTGATCGCCCCAATGAGGACAGCCCTGAGCGGGCGTGCGCCGGAGCCTCCGCCTCCTTGCAGGCCGTTAGGAGGGACGAGGAGCCGGACGTGGAGGGATACGACTCGGACGACTCCAGTGAGTGACAGTGTTGATCTGGCGGCGTTGTGTCAGTGTGTGTTTACCTCCCTTTAGGTTGGTTTATTAATGCTTTTCTCTGTCTGCCACCAGTTGCCAGGCATCCTTCCAGCCTCATGGCTTTCTGGTTTTATCTCTAACCTTTTCCTCTCCCCCATCTCCTCTGCCTCCTCCTTTTTTATATTTTATTTTAACTCCAATTGTCTGATTCAAGCATGAATGTTGTGTCTCTGCGCGGCAGATAACTCTTTTCCTCTCAGTCGACAGGCAGCCAACTGTTGCTGCTGCTAAGAACACAGTCTCTCCTCCCCTCCCTCCTCCTCCTGCTGCTTTAGCTCCAACTGACAGAATGATGCATGTGATTTTATTGGAACAAAGCATTGCATGAGGCTGCCGGTGTTGATAAGATTGCATTTTTAAGATCACCCATGTCTACGGGGAGCTCGGTCTCACCGAGTCGAATGATTCATGGCTTCTTGGCAAAGCCTCAGATTAGTCGCAGTTTTGCGCTTAGAGGAGCTGTCCTTATACTGTACGCAGAAAGGCAAGTTCTTTGATCATAACGCCAGTTTGGCTGTTTGCTGAAAGATGCCATGTTCATGTGTCTATGTCATAAAAACCTTGTGAATGTCAGTCCATCAATCTGCAGGGAAAGATATTGTAACAGCAGAGGTTTTTACGCATCACAGAGGTAAAATGAAAATAAATAGCTTCCTCTTCCATGAGTCAACACACATACAAACAAATCTGTACAGGTGCAAACAACTGTTTCTTCGTGAATCCATTTATCAATCAATGTCAGCGTCTGTCTGACGAGCGAAGGCGTTTCTCTTTCAGCATCCAGACTCGTTTGACTTCTTCTGAAATACATGTTGCACACGAACAGGATAAATTCCTCCCGTCATGTTCGACTCTCGCTTGACGTTTGTCACGGGCGTCCTTTGCACAAAAGGCGTGCGACCGCAGGTTAATGTATGACAGTAGTGTGCCTTCTGTAGGATTTAATCCTTCCAGAGTGGCATGCTGTTGGGGATGGGGGGGGTGTTAGGCCAGCTCTAATCCAGAGCTGGACAGGAGGGTTGGAGGGTAGAGATGGGGGGATGGTAGGAGGTAGAAAGCATGGATTCTCCTGGCAGATGTTGCTTTATGACCTCTACTAGGCAGCCGAGCTTTTACTGCGTGATGAAGGACAGAGTCTGATAATCAGTCAGACCAGTCCTTGCAAGACTGTGCAAGAATTCACTTTCCCATGTAGACTCAAAGACTCCTTGGCTTATTTATGGCTGTATACAGGTGCTGGTCATAAAATTAGAATATCATGAAAAAGTTGATTGATTTCAGTAATTCCATTTAAAAAGTGAAACTTGTATATTATATTCATACATTACATACAAACTCATATATTTCAGATGTTTATTTTGTTTAATTTTGATGATTACAAATGACAACAAATGAAAATCTCAAATTCATCATATCAGAAAATTAGAATATTACTGAAGACCAATAAAAACAAAGGATTTATAGAAATGTTGGCCAACTGAAAAGTATGAACATGAAAAGTATGAGCATGTACAGCACTCAGTATTTAGTTGGGCCTCCTTTGGCCTGTATTACTGCAGCAATGCGGCGTGGCATGGAGTCGATCAGTCTGTGGCACTGCTCAGGTGTTATGATAGCCCAGGTTGCTCTAATAGTGGCTTTTAGCTCTTCTGAATTGTTGGGTCTGGTGTATTGCATCTTCTTCTTCACAATACCCCATAGATTTTCTATGGGGTTAAGGTCAGGAGAGTTTGCTGGCCAATTAAGAACAGGGATACCATGGTCCTTCAACCAGGTACTGGTAGCTTTGGCACTGTGTGCAGGTGCCAAGTCCTGTTGGAAAATGAAATCTGCATCTCCAAAAAGTTGGTCAGCTGCAGGAAGCATGAAGTGCTCTAAAACTTCCTGGTTTGTGGCTGCGTTGACCCTGGACCTCAGAAAACACAATGGACCAACACCAGCAGATGACATGGCACCCCAAACCATCACTGACTGTGGAAACTTTACACTGGACTTCAAGCAACGTGGATGAAGTGCCTCTCTTCTTTTCCTCCAGACTCTGGGACCTTGATTTCCAAAGGAAATGCAAAATTTACTTTCATCAGAGAACATGACTTTGGACCACTCACCAGCAGTCCAGTCCTGTTTCTCTTTAGACGCTTCTGACGCTGTCTGTGGTTCAAGAGTGGCTTGACACAAGGAATGCGACAGCAGAAACCCATGTCTTTCATACGTCTGTGTGTGGTGGTTCTTGAAGCACTCACTCCAGCTGCAGTCCACTCTTTGTGAATCTCCCCCACATTTTTGAAGGGGTTTTGTTTCACAATCCTCTCCAGGGTGCGGTTATCTCTCTTGCTTGTACACTTTTTTCGACCACATCTTTTCCTTCCCTTCGCCTCTCTATTAATGTGCTTGGACACTGAGCTCTGTGAACAGCCAGCCTCTTTAGCGATGACCTTTTGTGTCTTGCCCTCCTTGTGCAAGGTGTCGATGGTCGTCTTTTGGACAACTGTCAAGTCAGCAGTCTTCCCCATGATTGTGTAGCCTATAGAACTAGACTGAAAGACCATTTAAAGGCTTTTGCAGGTGGTTTGAGTTAATTAGCTGATTAGAGTGTGGCACCAGGGGCCATCAATTTTGAACCTTTTCACAATATTCTAATTTTCTGATATGATGAATTTGAGATTTTCATTTGTTGTCATTTGTAATCATCAAAATTAAACAAAATAAACATCTGAAATATGAGTTTGTATGTAATGTATGAATATAATATACAAGTTTCACTTTTTAAATGGAATTACTGAAATCAATCAACTTTTTCATGATATTCTAATTTTATGACCAGCACCTGTAATTGTGTTTGCATGAAAACTTGTAAATATTTCCTGCCAAACAATATTGTTTTCTGTAAAATCTATTTTTTATATGTATTCATTTACAGATGAAGCAATTGGACGTTCAAAATTTTGATTTTAATTTTGTCTAAAGCCGTGATGTGCCAGTACAGGTCATTTCTCCTAACCTGACAACAGCCAGATGCATGTCTCGCTCCGCCTAGCTCCACTCACATACATCTGGGAACCCGCAATAGGAATTGCCTTTACTGAAGGCTGGGCCTTATCAAAACTCCTTGCATATGATTGGATAAGCCACTTGTCTGTCATCTTTATTGACGTGCTATTTCAACCACTCACACCGAAGCTAACCCGTGACGCTGTGAGAGGAGGAGCCATTTGGTAGATCAAGCTCTTGCCAAATCCGGTCGGGAGAAGGGCGAAAACATCGTTTCCACCAACAAAAGCCTTCAAAGCCGTTCTCTGATGTTCTTTTAATGAAACAATATCAGATAGATTGGACAACACAGAAGAAATAGCAGCATCAATGCTAACGCTTGCTTCCTCAATGCGAGCCGCCATTGTTGTTGGAATCTCACGGTCGCTTCTCCACTCCAGGACACACCCACCCTGCGTCCTGATTGGACAGACCATAAATTCGGTTTGGGAAATCACTTTCAATGAGCGGGTTCCCAGATGTATGTGAGTGGAGCTAGGCGGAGCTAGACATGCATCTGGCTGTTGTCAGGTTACATTTCTCCTACAGAAGTAGAAAATAAGAAGAGGTAAGAGCAGCATTACATCAGTGGACACTGTTGCTGTAAGGTTTTCCCTATTTCTTTTAAACAAAGACAATGATGTGACAATTTGAGGTGCCAGTTCTGACTGGGTTCATTTGCAACTTAAAGGAATAGTACACCCAAAACATGATTAGCCTTCATTTTCTACTCACCCCCATGCTGAACAACACTCTGGAGTACTTTTTTGATATCTCAAATGCATCTGGAGATCTGGGAGGCTTCTTGCTGTCTGCTGACATTCAAATAATGGAGGTCTATGGCGCCCGAGGCAGAAAGGTCCATAAAAGTCCACAAAAAACGTGTCAATATTCCTCCATACTGCTCGTCCAATGTATTCCAAGTGTCCTGAGTGGGTAGCGTCCATAATTTACTCGAAACGAAGTCATTTAGAATGTTTTTAGAGCATAAACAGTAGTGTATAGGATTTCCTAAAAGCGCGTTCACGACGCTACGGAAACCGCGGCAGACCAAACCAGATGAAAGTGCGCATTCAGCGTCTGCTCTGCCGATAATGCAAGCGTAGAAGAAGAAATGTGCTGTTTACCTGTGCAAAGAAAGAAACAACGAAAGAAAAATGTCTGAGGACTTCAGTGTTGAGGAAGAGCATGAGTTCTCAATAGTGGTGGTGGAGAGCTGGAGAGGCACACCCCCCAGAGCACTGAGTCCAGCGCCGGGAGACCCAAAGCCCCAGGCGCCCAAAGGGACCCCAAGAGCGAAGGCACCAAGGAGGGTCCAGCCCCGGAAATCAGACCCCCACCAAGGGAGGAGGAGAGACAGCCACGAAGTAGCCCCCGGGGAGCCACGGGGGACGAGTCCACGGGCCCCGCCGGCAGCCGGCCACCCTGAAGTAGGGCTGGGCACCGAACACCGGCCCCCCCACGGCACCGACCGAAACGTCCCAGCCCCACAGAGCACCGAAACACGCCCCGCCCCCCGGCACCAAGCCCCGGCGACCGGCCGCAACACCCACCGCGACCGCACCACCCAGGAGGCCCCGCCTACGGCCGGGGCCCACGCGCATCCGCCGCGGACCGGACGCGAGCGCCGCATGCCCCCCCACAACGCCCCCCTGGCCAAAAGCGCACCCCCACCCCAGTAAATGATTTTACTATAAAGTTCGTTCTCAATACTGTGGCTGCATAAAAGGTCTTGGCTGGACCTTAATTGTCACAAGACTTGGGAATTTACGAACTCCTGTAAAAAAACTTGCCAGATGTGTTAGCCTGTATACAGAAATTTTTCGGACCAGTGAAAAGCAGTGATGTAGATGCCAGCGCGTCAACCAGAGGTGGAAGGTGGAAGCAAAATGAAGATGACTGCGCTGGAT